GTGTACCCGTGCCAGGGCCAGCCCCGGCTGCGGCAGCTGGCCCCCCTCTAGCTGGGCCCCCTCTAGCTGGCCCCCCTCTTCCCGCAACAGAGGCTCAAATGAGCGAGATCAGCCCACAGACGCAGTGCTGGAGCATGGTACCACACCTCTTCTGGCTAAAAACATGGGCTCAGCTGAGCTGTGTGCAATTCCTGGGAAAGGATCTTTCAGCTGGGAGCCCTGGTTGCCCACAAGCCACATGCTCTGAGTGGACCTTTTACTCCCCAGTTCAGGGAGAGCTGTTCACTGGCGGCAAGACAGGAAAGTTTGTTACTCAGCTACGCAGTGCTGGAGCATGGTACCACACCTCTTCTGGCTAAAAACATGGGCTCAGCTGAGCTGTGTGCAATTCCTGGGAAAGGATCTTTCAGCTGGGAGCCCTGGTTGCCCACAAGCCACATGCTCTGAGTGGACCTTTTACTCCCCAGTTCAGGGAGAGCTGTTCACTGGCGGCAAGACAGGAAAGTTTGTTACTCAGCTATAGTTAAATGGCACCAGCCAGGAGGATCCTGTGAGCCTACGATTCTCCTGCCCTGGATGTATGCAGCAGATGTCCAGATTGTCTTTTCTTTGCCTTTCACTCCTTACCAGGACAATTATTTTCACTTTCCTGCCATCTAGCCAGATGGGGAACTTCTAGCAGTGCACATCCTTGGCACAAAAACCTTCCTGCCTCATCTCTCCTTCTGCATGGAAGTGCTCCTCTGCATGGATGCCCCAGCCACAGCACTCAGCTAGAAAGCTTCATCCAAACGCCTGACAACAATCCCTGGGCATCGCTGGGTCTTTTTGTCAGTGTGGCCAGGGCCAGGCACTATGGTCACAGGCACCGCTCAGCCTCTCCTCTCTGTGAGATGTCAAATGAACAGAACCGCTCTCACCTTGGGCAGTCCTTTGCTCCTGCTTTCATACACAGCCTCTTTCTTCACCCATCCTGGCACACTCTGTTGCAGTCCAGTGTCTGGGAACATCCTACCTTGGTTAAGCCAGGCTGCTCTTAAAAATCCCAGGTGATCATGCTTGCCTGCCCCACCTGGGCCTTTGCACAGCATCTCTGAGCACTCCCATTCCAGGACTGACTTCTGAGGACCTATCGAAGCTCCCTTGCCTGTGCCAGTGTCACCGCCCATCAGTTCCTCACCTTGTCGGACATGAGGGTGGAGATTGAGCGGCCAATTTCATGGTAGTCCATGTTGGCCTGGCTCGGTCCCAGCAGCACAAAGATGAATCTGACAGGAATTGGGACCTCCAGCACAGATTCCAGGAAGACGGCCTCATTTAGTCGGACAAAGGCCATAGTCGGCTGCTCCAGGAACTGCACACAACCTACCAGGAGGCAATGTTTTGAGCAGAGTCAGTCATGTGGGTTAGCTGTATTGGGCTGCCTCTAGTGGTGGGAACAGGGATTTTGGGGGTTCCCATGAGCCCTGGAGTCATGTAGTTGTCTCCAGACCACTGACAGAAACATTGACCTTCATGCTAAGGACTACTCCAAGTCCCCTGCTCACTGACTATTCGAAAGCAGCACTACTTTCTTTATCTTCCCTGTTAGCTGTTTCTTAGTCTCTCAAAGATGGGCTCTACTTACACTGTAAGGGGATAGTTTGAAATCAGAAGCTTGTTTTCCACTAAGCCACTGGCTTATGGAAAGAAGTCTCTCACCTGCTACTTTTGTCAAACAAACTTCTAATTTCATCAAAGAATGAAATCAGGTTTACTTGACATGACCTATTTCCCATAAACCTCACTGCTTAGCAATAATTACATTCTTATCCTTTAGCTCTGTATTAATTGAATCCCATATTAGCTCTGCCATTATGCTGGCTGGGAAGGACGTCAGGTTAAACAGCCTGTCGGTATCGGATCACTGTCCTTCCCTTCTTGAGCACTGATGCTATGCGTTTTCTTCTGTTTTTCTCTTCTGTTCCCTGTATTCCTAGACGTATTTTTTTTCAGATGACAATGAGCTAGCTCTCTAAAGACCCATAGGTGCAAACTTCAGTTTGTTTTACAGTGCCTGCATCTCATCAATGCCTGGCAGCCTCCTGAGCTCCTAGCAGATTGGGAAGTACTCCCACATCCTCTGGCACACCAGCCACTTCCTTCCCATACCGAACACAAATGTTTATTGAATACTTGTATTTCTCTGGCATTATTACTGATCCGTCCACCATCTGTGTCCAACAAACAGCTGTGTTCCGAGTTAGACAGGCAAGTCTGGGCCATCCGAGTGGCCAGGCAAATCCCAAGACACAGCCTTACCTCAGAAGTGGCCAGTGCTTAGTTACCTGAGTGTTCAAAGTGCACTTATGAAGCTGGTTCTGCCTCACCGTGGTTAAGCACCAGCTTGGTTGAGCTGCCAAGCCTCTTTGCCTGAGCCTTTCACCTACTGGCTAGGCTATGACATTTACTGTGCTTGTAGTGTAGCTACATTTGCTGGGATGTCAATGCCAGCAAAGTGCTGAGAAGGACTGCTCTTAGAGTCAGAAGGCACCAAGCCCACTGATACTCAAGCCTGCCTGCTCACAGCCCTCTTGTACGGAGAACTATCTCTGGCAGCACTACGGCAAATACCCGAAATCTTGCCACCAGCCAGGCCCTGCCTCCATAAGCTCAAAGCAACCTGGCACACACAGCCAGCAACCAACACTGGCCGGAGGCAGAGCCCAGCTGCTGGTGAGGTGTGAGGAGACCAGAAGGAGGGCAGTGATGGTCAGAGGACATCATGAGGTCCAACAGCAGTCCGTGCCTGGCCATCAGTCTCTTGGGGGCCACTTACCCGCTTCTGAGCTACAAAATGGGATGTTCTGGTGAGTCTGGCAGGACTCTGTACAATAAGTTGGGCTCCAGCTCCCAGCTGCAGTGTCTAACAACCTCTTTCTTAATTTAGCAGAACTACCGTGCCACCCCATACATTTACCACAGACAAGGAAAACATGTGCCATCACCAAGGAAGAGAGGGTACAAGGCTTTCTCCCTAGTTGAACTTTCCGAACATGTACAAGATGACCAAATACCCCTCAGAAGGGAGGGCACAGACAGCTGGGGCCAGACCAGGATCTGCACTATTCTCTTGTGATGCTGGGGGACTCTACATGCCATCTCTTACCCACAAGAACCACTGTGGCCTCTGCATCTTCAGGGATCTTCTCCATCAGCTTCAGGTATTTACGGTGGCCCTCAGAGTTATGGAGATGTGGGTTTTTCTGCCAGGGAGAATACAAACACGTAAGGAGAAAGTCCCCATGCCTTGGTCTCCCTATACAGCCTTGCACCCCACTGGCATATCAGCAGCTCACCTTGCCTTGGCTGCATGCCCAGCACCTTGCTTCACAGGCAAGGCACCCTCACAGCAAGTGCCAGGGCTGCTGCTGCCATTGCACGCTTAAGCAGACATATGCACACAGTGTGAGGCTAAAATTAGGTCCCGAAATCATAATGCTGTGACCTGATTTCCAGCACTCCAGGTGATCTAGGAGGGCTAAGCCCTTGCAAGTATAAGGACCCTCATGAAGGGGCCTAGCAGTGGGTGCCAAGGGCTGCCACCAGTTGTCCCCAGGAAGCGGAAAAAGAAGCAGTAACCCCCCAATGTCATCCTCACCTCCTTGCACTCAGTCTCATTGGCCTTGGGGTCAGCCATCTCAATGCGCTCTTCCCCCATGAGGGGCATGCAAGTGTCAGTGGTGTGGTTGTGATGGTGGTTCCCCACGATGGAGTTCATGCTGGAGCTGGAGTGGTTCCTTGGGAAGAAGCCCTCTTTCTCATCATTGGGATGGCTGCCAGGGAAAGTGGTGGCCATGAGGGGACTCGCCTCCTTTGCCACCTGGAGCCCACAGTTGACCACCAAGCCCTGGTGGACCTCAGCCATGCGCCACCCACCTGTGCTTCAGCAGCAGGGCACGCAGCACGTTGGCTCGGTCTTCTGCTCTGATCTGGTCAGAAATGATCATTGTCTCCACCATGAGGTGAGCAATGCCTGGCAGAGTGGTCTGCTCCAAGTCAAGGAGGACGGCACCTGCCAGCAGAGGGGAAGAGCCCTTCTCCTAGTGTGCAACACTCCTTGCCACACACACACCCTGCTGACACAGCTGTCCTACCAGAGACAGGCTTTGGTTGGGGTACAGATTCTCTTAGCTGAGAACTGCCCCATGTCCAGTTGTCCTGTGTTCTCAATGTAAACTCTTGTCTCAAGAGAACTCAAAAGCTTCAAGAGGCACTGGTAGTTCTGAGTACTTCCGTCTCATTTTGGTCTTCCACTCTGACCAAACTTGCCTCTTCACACCAAAGATGGTTCCAAGACCTGCTGGCCCAGGCACAGTGCCTGACAGCAGCAAAGCAGAGCAAGGAGACAACACAGGCACCCCTGGGCTAATGCAAACCCTGGCAAAGAGGCTGCAGGATGGTCTGTCTCCACAGTCCCTACACAGAGCCTGGACACAGGTGCTGTTGACATGTCTCTAATGAGGGGCCAAACAGCAACAGCTATGCCCCAAAACCTGTCCCCGAGGGAGACACAAACCCTCTGCTGTGGTTCCTGACTCACCATGAGCAATCGTCTTCCTGAGCTCCAGCAGGCTGCGGAAGGACAGTGAAGCCACGTGAGGTTTCCCCCACCTTGCTGTGTCCTCCTCCACATTCTCCTCAAATTTGATCCAGCGGGCGGTCTCCCTCCAGTGCATCTCCTGGTTCTTATCCACCACCAGCTCATTCAGCTCCACGAAAACCTGGCGCAAATTATAGGGAGGACATGAGACTTCACCTGATACATACAGCTCTATCAGCAACATGTGGAAAGCCTCAGGTTCATTTTCAAGGTACCACTTGGTCTAAAGTGCTGCCTGAGCAAGTCTGCCTTAGTTAACCAGGCGTTCAGTGAACAGAAGCAGCCAGGACAAATATCACAAGCAGCGTGGCAGGAGCTTCCATCAGCACATGGAGCACCAGAAAGCTCAAGCATCAAGTCATCTGGCATGGGTAGAGAAGAGAGAATGATGCAATGCCACATCCCTTTCTACCAGACTGCGACCATTTTGTCCTCTGCCTGCTTCTTGGTTTCCCCTCAAATTTCCCATTTACCAGAGATGGTGACATTACTGTGCTGCCAACTTCCACAACAGCACTACCATTTCCATGACATTTTAATGTCTCACGTAAGGTCAAGGTTTTCTGATTTCAGAGAAATCTCTACTTTCATTAAAATAAGTATATTTTCAGCCCTCATGAAAATGGAGAAGAGCCCAAAATGTCACCCCCAAGGTCATTTAATGAATTAATTATATTGAAACCACATTTACGACTTTGTAAAGTGCCTGTTTCTAGTCCTAATTTATGGCTTCTGAACAAGTGTGGGAGGACAGCACATGGATACCTCATGGGGCTTTCTATCCAACTTCTTCTTCTTCTTTTTTTTCTTGACAGATGGCATTGATGCTAATTTTTTACTTGTCCTGGTGATCTGACTCCGAGATGGTTTTTTCATCAGATGCCTCCTCACACCAGGGTTATCTTCAAAACGGTGGCCTGAAGACACAGGAAAGGAAAAAAGACCACCCATTTGCCTAGTGGAAGCACACTGTCTGGCAGGGAAACACATCGAAGCCCACCCTTCTTTCATTGGCTTACGCTAGCAAAGCCCTGGCAGCTGAAGCACTCACCATCATCTTCCAGACCTTTGAAGATCCTTCCTGCCTGATCTGCCTACTTTCAGCTCTTCCAGACATCTTCTTCAAGAAGAAGGCTTCCTCACAGGCTGTACACACACCAGAGCATCACTGCAAAAGCTTTTATATGTGATACCCAAACAAATGGTGCATGAATCCCCTTTCAATGAAAAGCAACCTGAAGCCTTGTCTGCACAGCTCGGCACCCAGACAACACAGGCTGGCACCTGGCTGGGGCTCATTTCTCCCACTGGAGGAAGGGCTGGTGCTCAGCAAGCATAAAGGGCAGTGAAGGAGAAGGATATTTAGCTGCTAGTCTGGGAGACACATGGAAATATCAATGCCTGTTTTATTTAATTGTGCGATGAGACTGTAGGATAACGGTGCAGACTGGGCTGGCACGGGGGCGGGGCTGTTAACTCCAGCCACCGCTGTTCCTAGATGATCCACACTGCCACTGGAGTGTCCTCTGAAGGGTCTGTGTTAACAGAGTCAGGCTGGCTGAATCAAAGTCTCCTGAAGCCTCCATAGGCTGCATTACAGACCCACCACCAAGCTACCATTGCCACTGGTTAGCCAGCACCCAACAGAACCTGGCAACAACTGTGCCAGTCCCTTTTACCATGTCAGAGAAACGGCACCGGGGGAACAGCCTGCCATGGAAAGTAGCTACCCTGGACACTACCAGTAAGTATCTTCCTCTGCACAGACAGTCCACAGGATGTGAAAAGCCTCAGAGACCAGTTCCAGGATGGACACACTCCCCCAGGTAGATCACAGAGTCAGGGTGACTGCTCAGCTTTGGTCCATCGAGGCTTGCTGGCCATGCTTGTAAAGCAAAGCCAAGGTCTTCTCCCCAGAGGATCAAGGGCAGCTCTCTGTTGCCTGGGATGAATGTTCAGTCTCCACATGCCTTTCTGCACTTTGCTTCAAGACCTGCAGCTCTCAGCGCATGAGAGGTAGCAAAAAGCACTGGATTTGAAAGCCAAGCGGTCTCCTTGGTGCCAGAAGGAAATCTGTGTATCTCTGCCACGGAAAGACACCCAATATCTGGCCAGGCATACCATGGCCTTGCTCCTTGGAAATCTGGGTCACTAAATTAAATATAAAATGAATCAATAGTGAGCCTCAGGGCATTTTCCCCCATTGGCTGCCCTGCTGATGCACATCCTGCTGACGGTTGGACTCCTCCCTGCTCCACTTACTGCACTGCAGCGTCGATAGGAGCCGAGAGCTGCCCACTGATATGGACATTTCTGTGAGCTGGGCACGTGTGGGGCTTCCTCTGACTTTTGCATGGATTTCTCAGCTCCCATGTACATGGTAGCCACTTCATCACACTCAGCACGGGTTTGTGCATAAAACAAACAGTCCACCAGGCAGATGACCTTGGTATCTGTTGCCTTGGTTCCAATCCCTGCAGCTTCTGATTCTCCCGCATACCCTGGAACTCAATTCTACCCGTGCCGCTGGAAGACCAGGGCCAGAGGATGCTCTGCCCAGCAAGACAGGGCTGCTCTCCCAGAGCACAGCAAACCTCCCCTGTGGCGATGACAACCTGCTACGCTCTTCAGCAACAGCCCTAGAAAGCCCACGCAGGCGTTCAGTCTCAGCCACCAAATGGCTGGAGGGACAGATATAATGAAAGGAGCCAAGTCTCCTGCCAGCATCTCCACTGACTCCCACACTTGCTGACAGGGACAGGAGCCGGAGTGCTGCAGGCTCAGAGCAAGCCAGTGAAGGCACACCTCCAGAGCCCTACTGAAGACTAAGAAGCCATCAGCTTTGCTGCTCTCCCTTGGCAGTGCCTGCAGCCACCAAGAAGCCAGCTGAGGGAGACAACTCATAGAAGCAGGGTGGACACATGGACTGAATTCAGGAAGAGGCCATTGGCTTTGGGAATCCCACGCAGAGCCCAGCTGAGGTGCTCCAGGCTGCTCTGCAGAGGGTCTTTCTGTGTCTCATCAGATTGGTGCTTCCTCCAAACAAAAGCCAAGCTCCAGTGAGCACCTAAGTTAGTGGTCCTTACTTAGGACAGGATCTTGGACTGAGACCAAAGGGTGATAGGCCCAGGTCATAGTTCTGTGCTCCTTGCTTGAAGCCAAACTCCCCAGAGTGAGCTGAAGCAGTCACAGATCTTGCTGTACCAAGCTTCAGCGCTCCCCAGAAGCAGAGCATGAGACAGTAACCATGTCTGAGGACAGAGGGTGATTCCAATGGTGGATCCACTACAATGAAATGGTATGTCACTCTCCCCGCACGGCATCTGCTACAGACTCCTCCAGATCTTGCCATGTTGGCTTCCGCAGTCAGATTTCTTGTGATGACCAGTTCGTTTTCCACCATCTTAAATCTGAAGATGACAAGTACAACTTTGCACTGGTTGAATTTTTCTCAGAGAGTGCCTGCGCTAGTCAATTCAACTCAGTGGGCAACTGCCTTCAATTCATGCATTACCTCCTGCTTCTCTCCTTTCATTACCCTCCATCCACAAGCAGGAAGCCCAGAAAGAGGTATCAAGAGTATTTGTATCAGGACTAGAGAGCAACTTGCTAGCCCAGCATCACAGGGATGGTGCACACTTCCCACATACACTGGTAGTTAAGCTACAGCAATAAAAGAGATTGAAACCCCATCTCTTCGAATATTTGAAATGACTAAACAAAATGCTAGACAACATACAGTAAGTCACAAACCCTGTGCTGGCTTCTGGACAAAGCTACTGCCCTGCCCTGTGTAGAGCCTGACTCTCTTGTGGCTGGTGCTGAGTTCAATGGGATGGAGACAGTGGGACCCCAGCTCATCCCTGCTGCCATCCAGGTGTTCCTGCACAGCACTCCCCATAGCCTGAACACTAAAAAGAATGCAAGGAGACCAGCTCAGGTCCAACAAAGACTCTATTCCGCTCTTGATATTAAATTCCTCCTGGATCTGAGGTGGTCCTGGAAGAGGTACTGCCTCTATTTACTAGAGTAAATAGCTGGGCAGAACTGACTCTGGTGTCTCTGCTGTCTCTGCCTCTACCACATCCCTCTGCAGCATTAACCCACAGTGTGAACTCACTGTGCAGAAATAATTAAGAGTTGACTGTACAGCACATCCTATTCCACGTACCTGCAATATTAGCTGTAGCAATCAATGAATATGTTAACTGCTAGCAAGACAAATTTCCCCACTTTATAAGAGAAGCTTATTACATCTTGCAGAAGTTATCTGCCCCTTCTACCTTTGCAAGAACAGTCATCCTTTCCCTGGTGAACTTGGGGCAACTTTTCACGCTTTTAATGTACAGTTTGCTCACCTCAGGACAGCTGATGGAGCCAACTTTCTTCAGGTTTCTATTTTGAACTTTGCTGCCGCCATACTGTCTATCAATTTACAGTAACAAGTAGCAGAACCAGCCGGAAGCAAATGCCCACTTGCTGGTGCTGGCAGAAGCATATAAGAAGACACTTCTTCCCTGAAGGCTTGTAAAGATGTGTCATGCTGGGATTGGGAGGGAGCGGAAGTTAAGAGCTTTGCCTAAGATCACACAGAGAGGCTATGGCAGAGCCAGAAGCTGAACAGGGCACCCCGAGTCCCAGCTGCAAGCACTCTGCCTCCTCACCTAAGTGTGCAAAGCCAGTGAGTGGGCTAGTTGGGACCACATCACCCTCCTGTGCATGCTCCTAAATCGCTTGAAAAATGAACACAGGATCCAGACAGGGACATCTGGGCAACTGCCCCAGCACTACGGCTATGTTCAGTGACACACAGAACCACCTCTTAACTGTGAGCTACCACTATCTGCCAGGGAAGGACTGCCTGCACAAGGTGGGAGAGAGGCTCCCGTTTCTGTGCAGTCCCTGGGATGGGTCTGAGACAGTTCTCTGCAAGGGCTGAGCAGGTACGGAAACAGATGCAGAGAACAGAAAGACGTCCCTTGCTTTTGGGATTCCTATTCTCTCCTTCCCTGCTTTTCCTACTCTCACTTCCTGCCTTTTTTTTGCCCTTCCAGGCACCCCAGCCAACCTACCATTAGGTAGTTTCACAGCCATGCTCAAGCCTGCAGACACAGGGACTAGGTTATTTTTCCCTCTGGGTATTAGGCTACCATGCAGAGCTGAGAACCTGATACCACCTCTGCTGTTGGATCCACAGCTCGGCTCAAATTCCAGCAAACAGAGCAGCAGCACACTGTCACCTTGTGCCACAGATGGCAGGGGACATGTCCCTGTTCTTATACACACCTCGAGGCAGGTGCTTTTCCTCTGGCCATGGCATGGGCCACCTCCTGATAAGCACTAACATCAAGATGCAGCTGCCTTCATAGCTGTTCAAGTGAGATGCACACAGGGAAGCACCTCAGCACTACAGCACAGATCTGTACAAAGACCTTGGACAAACACACAGACACCAGGCAGCTCCTCCAGTGTCCTCAGGCACACGGCAGGGCACACCATAGCCCTCTAAACCAGGAGACCAACCTGACACAAGGAGGGTGCAGACAGCAAACACAAGGTGGGGGATACACATTTTAGCTGGGGGCTCTGATCTACAGCTGCAACAGCGGGGTCACTGCTCCAGTACTTACAGGTGGGCTCCCCGCCTGGGTAGCCCAGATGGTTTCTGATGGCCTCCCACAAATCATAGTCTTCAAAATTGAAGGCAAATTCATCAAAGTCTTCATAGCCAAGTGAGTTGCGAATACGGGGGCTCATCGCTACCTCCGGGCTGCTGCCCCCTTCCGATTCCTTCGCCGCCTCCTCTCTCTCCCGAAGGGCTGTCATTTTGTCCTTGCAAAGGTCAGGGGTCAGGTGCCATGAGCAACTGGCTTTCAGAGGAGGGGCTGAGGTAGCCAGGCCGATGCGTGGA